AGCAGCAGCAGGAGCAGCAGCAGTAGCAGCAGCAGCAGCAGCAGCAGGAGCAGCAGCAGCAGCAGCAGCAGCAGCAGCAGCAGCAGCAGCAGCAGCAGACGTCATTTCTGATTGGTAGCAAGTTCGCATGCATTTTTTGCAGGCTATGTGGAAGCCAGCGTGGCCTGAAGCTTGGCTGCAGTGGTGTACCACAGCTGGGGCTGATGTGGCCGTTTTTAAGTCCACCGTACTCTTGCAATTCAACCATTTGCCCTCCAAGTTCGCACGCAGAGCAGGCAAGGGCAGCAAGCCCCATCTTCTTCGCTGGCCTTGGTCGAAGGCACCTGAGCATCTGAGCTGTGAGGACCCAGCTGTGCGGGACAAATACCGCTGCGAGGCCCGTGTTTTCGCCGAGAAGACTCTTGAGCGAGAACTCATATTGCATGACTCTTGCCTGATGCTCCTGGCAGGCGCCCAACATCGACAAAGCAGACTGGCCAGTGCAGTGGGTGCCGTGGTTGGAGCTCTGCCGCACAAGACCCCAGAAGATCTTGTTCCTGGGGCTAGGAGGCTGGAGGCCTAGTTGTCTCCAGCATGAAGTGCGGAAAGGGATGCATCAAGGAGGGTCTCCTTCCGAGGCCATTGTAAGAGCGTCTTTGCTGACAGTTATCAAAAGAGCTCCCCCTCCTGCAGAGATTCCTTCCTTTGCTTCATAGTACCATCATGGCATGCAGCGGAAGTCCAGGTCAGAGCTAATGATGCTAATGCAGCACCACATGTGTGACCTTGGGTTGAATCTGGTTTCAAGGTGGCTACTATCAGAGCTACCTTGCCAACCAGTGCCCAACCTCTCAGACGCTAACGCTAGAAAACAATGCAACCATCGTGGAAGCCGCCCGTGACTTCTTCGGCTTTCAAGGCCTTTTGACACGACGCTTTTGACACGACGGTGCGTGAGACTTGGAGCACCACCTGTGTCTCCAAAAGTGTGAGCAGGTGACGTTATGCTGGCAGATGCAACATCTGGTATGAAGCACTTGCTGAAGCATGGCGAGAAATTTGCAGCTCGGCCAGTTGTACGTAGTATATTTTGGTCTGAATTTGCAGTCCCTTCTGCTATGATGCACCTGGCCAGGATGCAGTAATCAGTGATTTGGGGCAGCGGCAGCTCGCGTCCCATGATCTGAAGCTAGCGCAAAAGCTGCTCAAGCCAGGCTTGGCAGAAACTCAGAGTGGTTCACCATCGGTCATTTGTTTGCAGTGCGTGCCCTTGTATTTTGCCGGGAGCATGTGCAGGTGGGACATTTTTGTTTCAGTGGTGCTACGGTGGTTTGCGCAAACATGAAATGAAGCTGGACAAGATGATGGATGCTCGCCCGATAGCTGAGACACACGGCAGTGTAGACGTTCTCTCTTACATATTCGTTGCCTCTCCGGGCTGCGCTCTGGGTCTCGCAAGCATGCCCAGAGACGGCATTTCGTATCTGACAAGCTGCCCTTGTTCCACACCTCTGCAAGAAGAAAGGATTACTTTGTGGACGTCAGCGCTGCAGCGGACAGAGATGGCAGCTTGACAGGGAACAGCTAGAGTGAGGACATTCCCATGAAGTGCGCACTTTGTTCTTACTTTCCTCAATTTGAAAGGGCAGCAGATCTTGTTCACATTTATGTAGGTGGTGCCTGGCTTTTGTCCTGTTAGTTGTCAGCCTATGCATTAAACAGCATGCGTTGTGAGTATTTCATGTGATGTTGATTCAATATGTCTGTCACTTGCTTGTCGGGAAAAGGCTTCATTATGCTTAAGATGATGGCAAGGACACTGCACCTACTACGCGGCGCAGAAGGCAGAGAGCGATGAGCCCGACGCCAGCATCTCCGAAGTGGCCTGAGCGGAAAGGGTGCCCTTTTCAGATTCTCTAGGCCCCAATGGTGGATGATGTGACATTTGGTAGGGATGACAATGCAGGGAGACAAGTCGGATAAAGCTTTCAAAGTTGTCCAACAGTTTTTTTTGGTCAAGAGGACAGGGTTCTGAAGAGTGAGGACCTCACGAATTGGCTTTAGGAAATTGGTTCCTTCTGTTGAGATAAGTTGAGATGAGGCCATGCAAGGGCCTGTTGTAGGTAGGATGAGAGGCATTGGATGCCCAACAGAGCAGAGTGGAGACCCCTCCAGCTTCAAAGCAGGCTTGGGGATCAAGAGAGTCCAACTCTGCATTTGGTTCTTTCCGGGGTTCGTGCTTGACAGGTCCTGGGTTCCCAGGGCAGTTCCGACTATTTGACTCCAGTTGCACGTGTGCAACTGTGCGACCTTGTTGCACAGTTTACTCACGCTCCGGAGCCGACGCCTAGTTAAAGGCAGCCTGGTAAAAGGGACGTGCCATCCCCTTTGCTCACGATTTGAACGCTTTGGATATGTCTTATTTGATCTGCAGGTGCATGCCTTTAGTTTTCACGAATTATAGCCCCCCCGCAGGTGTGGGCGTGGATGCTGCTACTGAAGATTGAGATCTTCCAAGTGGCGGTATGGAGCCCAGCTTTCTTCCGAGGATAAGAAGGAGGACAGTGAGTACAGGGTTGAGTGTACTTCTGTCTCCGCGCATCCTTACTGCGTTGTTTGCGAAGATTGACGATGTACGGTTGCTGAGGACACTCTTCCAAACCTGACACCGGATGTCATCAGCGATCCAGCCTTCAGCTTGGAGAGATGCAGCTGCTGATTGCATGAAACTAGTGCCTTTGCCCTTCTTGTGGCCCTCGTGGCAGCTTTCGACATCAAGGAAATGTTTTACCCCATTGGTACACTCGTGCCGGGCCCAGCATAGTGCCATCACGTTCCCATTCGAAGGAGTCCCTCCGCAGACTAGCTGTGACGTCAGGTTCCCAACATGGAACTTGTGATGGGGCTTCAGGCATTGCTGGGACTTGCCATTGCCTTAAAGTGCAATCAATAGGCACGTGGAAGTCTGATTTTTGAGCATGCCGCGCTGTCAGATTACTTGGCTCCGAGTCTTGAAGTATTTGACGCTTTCGCGAACGCTGGCGCCTAAAGATACTCGCTCTTGCATGAAATGATCAGTCTAGCATGCAACTAGTAGCATCTAGTAGCTGCTTAAGCCCATCCGAGGTTTTTGCCCTTTGTACGCGTCTTTGAGCGCTGTTTCATAGAGCCGACCTCAGGTGAATCTGTGCTTCAGTTCTCTCAGCCCTAATCTGAGGGTCGTCTAAAACAAGCACGCTTAGACATTTATCAGCTCGGGGACGAGTGAAGCAAAAACGAAAGCTTCACAAAAGGGCGGTGTAAGGGTGCGCAAAAGGTTTATGCCTGGTCCGAACGATTTCTCTTGTGGGCTTTAGAGAATGTTTTTTTTTTCAACTCTCAACAAAATGTTGCGAAAGAGAGAGAGAGCACGGGAAGGGCCTACGAAACGGGCAGCAAAAGAGTTGTTCTTGGGAGAGAGAACATTGGACGGCCCCGAGTATTTTGGAGCTCGGAGCCTCCGCGGCTCAGAACTGGCTCTGAAATGAATCAAGAGTCTCCGCGTCTTGCTTCATGCCTCGTGTCTTTACAGCATATCTGGGCCTGTCGCGTTCTCGTCCTGAAGCGTGTCATCTTGACAGCAGCAAGCCCCGATCTTATCTTGCATCTGTCCTTGTCTCGCATCTGCCAGCATCTTCCTTTGACTTGCAGCCAGCAGCTGTGGATGCCCCGCTGTCTGCAGCGCAGGCCTTGATCAAGTATTCAGCGCTACTTTCCGTGGCGCTCTTCGGATTCGCAGCCAGCAGCACAGACCGCTCTGGTTGAAAAAAAATGTATCGATTGCTTCATTCATAGCAGTCATAGCATATGGCCGGCTGCTTAGGTGGCCATCTACATTGGCTTCGGCACAGAGGCTCCTTCTTTGTTTGCTGAAGTTTCTTAAAGGAGATAAGATGAGGTTCTTGTATAAGCTGCCGATCCTAGTGACTTTTCTCAAGCAGGCTGGCGTTTACAACAGTATTTGGAGCACTTTCGCATGGCCCCTAGCTGGATCACAAGCTCGGCAGCTGCAATGGTCCAGTTGAATCCAGGTTGCGGTGGCTGTGGCACCAGCAGGTGGTGTGGATTTGGGCCCTGTGACAGCAACTTGCCTGGCTGGATGCAGTAAGAGCAATCTGTTGAGCCATGGGTTCTGTTGCTTGTAAGGACAGGGATGACAGCTTGGTGATCCACTTAGAGTGGCATGTTGCAAGCTCACACATGATGCAGCCAGCTTTGGGAATTCAGGACTCGTTGGGCATGTGCCAGCTTTGCACATGGACGGTGCTTGTCACTGTCTCGAATGCGATTGCAGGTTGCGCCCATCATACTTTTCTCGTACATCATCGTGGCTACGCAGTTGCAGTATGCTTGTGCCGTGCTCCTCTGTACGTGCTACATACGTGCGAGGGAAGCTTTCTTTTGATTCCGGTGCGGTGCATGCGCCGACTTTAAATCTGCAGGGTGTGTGTGTGTGTGTGTGTGTGATAGGTTGTCCTCCTGGTGCTGACCACCTTTAATGCCATCCAAATCGACTCGTACAGCGTGACAACGTTCTCGCCTCAGAGCTATGAAGCTTGGGCAGCTTCATTTCTGCGGCATGCTGACTGTTCCTGAGGTACGAGCTTTCCACTTTGAGGCGGCACAAAGCTCCGGGTCTGGTACTGAGAGCTCTTTCTGGACAAAGGAACGGACTGCATCTGTGGTGAGGAGGGCCAAGTCAGGCAGCTTGCTAAAGTCAAGGCGCTGGCGGCGATCCGACGATTATCTTCATCTGGACATACTTGAACGCCTTGAAGGGCGTAAAGCTGGTTGGGAAGGCACCGGCATAACTTCTTGCACGGGTGATCCCAGAGGCTGCGACACTTCCAACTCTTCTACAGGCCGAGCTAGGAACGTGGTGCTTTCGGCTTCCTTGGCTCAAGCCAAAGCAGTGCCCCATGCAGGCAAATGCAGTAAGTAATGTTTCTTGTTGGATTCAACTTGCCCTGGGAGCCCAACCTCACTGTTTCTTTTGACCGGTTGCTTGACCCCTGTCTAATACCTAGCATTCCGGAAAGCTTGTGCTTGAGCTGGGTTGTGGGTTGTGCGCTGATGCTGCCGGGCGTTCTGCGAGATGGCGTGCAATTCCACATTCTCTACTGGGAGGCCTGGGAAGAAAAGACCGAGAGCTGCACCGTGCATCCTGTTGCAGTCCCCTGTGCCAGGGAGCGTGTAAGGAGGATTACTTCTTCGAACCACAAGATGTGATCAAAGAAACAATTTACCGGGATGGGCCTGGTCGCTGCTTCTGTTGTGCACATGTCGCAGACACCTGGAGGCTTCTGGGGCTGCCAACCTGAGCTCTTTTCGCAGTCGCATGCAGTCGCAGAGGTAACTGTTAGGTAGCAGCGTCCTGCAGGCAGCGCCTGGACAACATGCAAAGCACGTTGCGAATGTGTCTGGACCCACACATGCCGATGTTCCGCCAGGATGCTCAAAGGGTTTGTACCGAGCTTTCGGAGTTCACCAGTTTGCCGCAACCAGGCAGTTCTGAGAATTCTTAGTCTGCGGATGTTCGCCGGTCTGCAGGGGGGTGCCCGCCCGCCGGCTTGTCATGGTCTTAGCCTTCGACGGGCAGCGCAAAAACAAGTGCTGTGGATGCAGGACGTGGCAAGTTTCCACTGCCTGTCGCCAAAGATGCGGATGTCCTACAACCTCAGGCCGCGGTCAAGAAACTACAATTTGAATTTGAGCTAGGCTCGATGAAACTCCTGCAGGAAGTTCTACACCTACCTCCGAGCCATCAACCCAATCGTTGCTGTCACAGAGAACGATGTCCTGGGGGCTGCGCTTGCTGTAGAGAGAGAGGAGCTGAAGCCATCTGCTTGCGGCGTAGAAGTACAACACTGGAGGATGCTCCGCGGGTTTCAGCAATGCGTCCTTGAAACTTTGACCATGGCCACAGTAGAGAACATAGGTTGGTCTGCCGCCTCAACATTCCTTCAATGCTCCACCACTTCTTCCGACTCATTGAAGGGGCAGGTTATTCAAAAGCTCTATGCACCCGCATTGTTTTTTTGGTACCTTCCTCCTTACCGAGGAGCGCCTGCACAACTGGTCATGCCCGACCGCACGAAGAATGGCTGCGTGCCAAGGCACGGCCACAAACATGAGCTGCCTGGAGCTTTAGCACCCCTTCTGGCAGAGATGCCAAGTTGACGACTCGCAGTTTTTAGAGTGCCTGCAGGTGGGTCATGGTTCAGCCCCGCAGGTCCAAGAAATGAATGAAGCTGCAGAGCAGCGCGGTGGCAGTAGCATAGGACCTGAGTCTCAAAACGTTTGGAAGGTGCCCTGAGGGCCTGAGGCACTCTGTGTCTAGTATGCTTTCAACTCTCTGGATACCCAGCCACGCGTTGGCAGGACTTCTGCTGGACAAGAATGGTTGCGAGGTGTCTTCCTTCGGTACCAGCATTCCTATGTTTACTAAGCCAGAGGCTCCAATTAGGGAGGTGCTGATCCTTCTGGGTGGGCCTAGGGGCATTGAAGACATGGAACTTAGACGGCTCACGGACATCTTCGCCGGGAGCGGGCAAACTGGGGCAGGGATGCCCGGCATGGGCTTCTCGCAGGGCCTGATGAAGATCCGACTGCCTGGAGGGCTGCATCACTCCTGCGTGGCTCTGAACGATATCTTGAGCTTCCATGACAAAGGTCACGGGAAGCACACATGTTCAAAGTAGAGACTGCCAGACATGCACGGGTTGAGAGGAATTTTCGTGCATGTTGCGCGTTCTTGCTTCCACCCTGAAGGCTACTTGATGCCGCTTGTGGAAGACGTCAAGGGACTCGGTGAGAAGCAGTACCAGACGCGCAACGCTGCTATGAGTGCAGCGATAGCCGCATGGGCAAGTTCTAGTCTCCCAGTGGACAACAAGTGCGAGGCAGCGATGAGCCGTCGCTGAGTTTTTTTTTAGGGTAATTGCGGACATGATAACTGCAAACTGTATGTGCTACTTGTAAAGCCGGCATGCCAGTTCCACAGAAACGAGGGCTGCTCCCCACCGAATGCGGCCCCCGTGTCTGGTAGCAGGCCTTTTGTCTTATCATCCCTGTCAGGCTTTGCAAGGCTTCACCTGCACTGTTCAGAAATCCACTGCACTTGATGCTGAAAAGTTTGTTGACAAAGACAAAGGGCAAGAAGACGAGCAAGCCATTCCAAATGACATTTTGGTATACCTTTGTCGACTCCAAGCCGCTGGCCACTTCCCTGCAGACAAGCTGTGGAGGTTACGATGGAGACTGATGATGTCTTTGGAAGCCATAGAGCCGGCACGTGCTCTAAAGGCTCTGCGATCCTGCGAGAGGAAAACTCTGATAGCCGCTCAGCACAGTCTGGAGTTTGACCCGTGGCAGGAGTTGTGCTTTGCCCTGGATCACGCTCTTAGTAAACAACCAAGCGCTACAGATAGCTGCCTCAACGACGTCCGGAGTGCTTTGCTTATGGCAAGGCAACTGAACGAGGCTCCGGAGGAGGAAGACCTCTTCACGGATGTTGATATGATGTATTTGCTTGGTGAGCTTCCCTGCAGCCAAGCCGTGCGGCTTCTAAGAAACCACTGCGACCCACCTGTGGGGTCCATGATTCAATTGGTCCACGCCATCGCAAACTGCATTGCGCGTCACCAAGGTGGCATGTGTCTTGGCCTCCAACGAAAGCATTGTAATTGTAATTTAATATGTTAGCCACTGCGGCGGGGTAGTAGATCTTGCTTTGTGTTGAGATCGAATGCAGGGAGGCGGACAAGGCTTTTCGCGAGGCTGTGAAAAACTTCCTTGAGAACATGGAGTGGGAAGGGCGGGATGATGAGACTTGGCAGCTCATGTTCCGTGTTGCTCTCCAAGACGGAGCCCAGCCCGGTGTGGCTCAATCTTTAGCCGAAGTTTAGTCATTCAGCATAAAGATGTCCTGCTTTGGGAAGGTGCCTTCCATTCTCATTAGGCCTTGCTGCAAGATTCGAGGTTTGCTTAACTCCTCTTACAGCCTCCAGCCAAGGAGGAGTATGCAGGCCTACAGCAGACCTGCCAGACCAGACGGAAAAGGTGGACGGCGCAAACTGGGCATGAGCAGCTGGCCTTGCACAACGCTCCCTCCGTCCCAGAGCCTCAAGGCATGCAGCTATGGGCTGTGCAATGCTGGATTCTGCAGTTATAGTGCAATATCTGGCTGTTTCCTTCAGGCGAGCCCAAGCACATACTGCCTGTCTCAGAGGATGCGGCCAAAGGGAAGCCAAGGGTTGTGAAACCACGCGTGCAGCCGAAGGCGACGGCCAAAACACAGGTCAAGCCGCAGGCCAAAGTGCAGGCCAGGCCTCAGGCCAAGACACAGGCCAAGACGCAGGCCAAGACACAGGCCAAGACACTGGCCAAGCCGCAAGCCAAAGTGCAGGCCAAAGTGCAAGTGAAGGCACCCGCATGGTTGGCAAAGGTCCAGCCAAAAGTGGCTGCCAAAACTGATGTGAAGAGGAAACTGCCGCTTCCGAAGCCGCCGCCGCCAAAGCGGTCCATTTGGTGTTTTGGCTGGATGATGCTGCATGTAGAGGTCAGCAGGGCCCCCTTCTCTTGCAACATGCCGGCGAATCCTGAAACTGAGGTTTGAAGGTAATGATGAATGAAGATTGGGACCTGACGCCGAATGGAGCGCCAAAAATGTTCGCAAGAACAGAAGCTGCTGGATTTGTTTTGGCCTTGCATGAGATGGATGAACAAACTCTGGCCTCTCCTGCTACTGTAACAGGAGACGAACGAGGACATAGGTGGCCCTCAAGATCAGGCAAAGGGGTTGAACAATTCTGCGGCACCGGCTCATCGCGGTTTAGTTCATCTACTGACTATGAGACAAAAGTCGAACCTTCCCGACATTCTGGGTGCAGTGGTGCGGCCAGGTCATCATGCTCAGCTCCTTGCCAGAGCCCGTTGCGACCAGGTACTATCGCATGAGAAGGCAGGGGAGTGTAAGGTTGGGGGCTAACGTCGTGCTTGTTTTGTGGAAATGAAGATCGGGGTTTTGAACAATTTGGAACAGCATGCCAGGTTGTTGCCTGTATTCAGAGTTGGCAGTCCACTTGCTGTCAGACAGTCCGGAGACACCCCGTGTGAAAGGAAAATGGAGAAGCTCCGGGATAAAGCGCTAGACAGGATAGAGGACTGCCTTTAGCAAGGCAAATGAACGTCCTGGTCCTACCCGAGCTCAGAGAATCCTTGCAGCCTTGCTCAGCCTGCACCAGGACCTGAAGCGCCAGAAGTTGATCGAAGCAGGGATCGGACTGGAGTGCTCCACCTAGTTGCGCAAGCCAAGCACATGTGCAACATGCACTTCAAGCGGCCAAGACAGGTAAAGCTGTCTTGTTCCCGCGGCCGATTCTGATGTATAGAAAGAGTCAGGGCGCTTGAGAACACCCGCCGCAGTGGCAGAAGAACGTGTGAACCTCGGACAGTCAATACCAGTCAGCACTGCTTGTGTACTGCATGCACCAAGATGAGGGTTCGCTCGGTATGGCCCTTTGCCGCATAGTACTTGTCCTTAACGTGGGAAAACCCCGCCCAGGTCCCAGCTGGCCTTGTCAGATGGGGTCTTCCTTGCCAAGTTTTTGAGGGCCAAGAGTCTTGCGAAGTAAGCATTTGTTGAAATACTTACTGGAGCTTGAACTCCTGGTAAGAAAACCTGCGAAAGTGCTGATGGCTGGTTGTCATGCGTCTAGCAGTGTCGTGCTGCCATTCATCTTCTGTTGTTGTGTTCGCATGTTCAGGATGAGGGGCATCATCATGAGGACGAGGACGTGGCTCAAGCCAAGGGGTTGCCTCTGCAAGTTCTGGTGAAGAGCTGCATTTTTTAGAGGAGGACAGGATCCCCACCTCCATGGAAATGGTGTCTGCCTCAGAGGTTGTTGATGATTGCCTGGCAATTGTCTAGGTTCGTACGACAAAATAATCGCCTCAAGCGCTGTTCTGAAGCTGCAGTGTAAGTAAAGCTTCCAGGCCGGCATCATGGTGAACCGGGTGGCACTGGCGAAGCTTGTGCAATCGCAATGGGGTACTCTCAAGTGATCTGATAAAAAGCATGGCTGTGGGTGGTAGGACCGCAGCATACAGTACTGTAGCCGATGCGGTAATGTCTCAGCAGGCCATCTCGTCGTGCCCGGCAGGTGCAACTCCAGCGAATGCTGGATGAGGATCCGAGGCTCGCAGAAATTTGTTCCTCGCCTGGCTCTTGGACGGAAGAAGATGGCCGACTTGTACCGGACCCTAATGTGCCACAAGTATTGTGCACTCCCAACAACCAAGGGACAAGGCGGTCGACGTTGTTCGACGATTCCGGGTAGACCAAACTGGACACGCGCTGAACTGTCGGGTCGTGGGTGCAGAGTTATTTGTTGCCAAGCAGGATTAGTGAGGTTTTCAAAGCGGGATACGCGAGGTGGACAGTCAAAGCTGCCCGTTTTATCGGAAATGAGCTAGAAACAGCCATGCAAGTGGCGAACGTAAATCAGGCCTGTCAGGCTCCCTCTGGGAACCAACGCTCTCAAACGGCCTTAGCCCATCATAATGAACTTATTCGCCCATTTTGAGATTCAAGCCCACAACCATTGCCCTATAACATTTCCCCCTCATTCGTAAGGATTATAGTACATTAGGGTCTATATTGGGGTCCCCAAATTTTGGGAAAGTATCATTATTTCAAGCGCAGGAGATGATCCCTTCGAGGTGGTTGCCAGGCTCCAGGCGCGGCCAGGGGTTATATTCGGGTCATATGAGGGTAGTGGGAAAGAACAATCCTTCACTAGGGTCCGTTTAAACTTTTAACAGTATAGTCAGTATGTAAAGCGCTGGAGATTCAGCTGGAAAACCAAATGGAAAGTGGAATGGAAGCTGGCAGTTTACACGGATATATAGGCCAAGGATAAATGATAAAAATAGTATTGATCCCTTATCGGGTCCCCCATATAATGTCCGCAGAGGGAGCATAGTTTTAGCAACCATCCACATGATAACGATCCTATTCATTGTGTGGTGGTGTATCCCATGAACCGCTGATAAGGTTGTCAGAACGCAGATAGTCGCTCAATTTGAGATTGTGCCGGATGCGTATGTACAACGGGGCGAACGGGTCCTGAACTTTAATCCATGGTAGCTCCATCTTGCATGTGCTGCCGCTTCTTCTTGCTTCACCCGCAGCTTGCTTAGACACATGTGTCGGCCTGAGACATAGCCTGCTGCCTTCAAAGCCAGATGATTTTTGCATCTGATGTTGCTTCATCATGCTTCACCCTTAGCTTGCTGCTTATACATACCTGTCAGCCTGAGACCCAGCTTGTTATTTCAAAAAAGGTTATGCAATTACTTTGGATTGGTCATGCGTTGGGTCCCGGTTTTGTGTTTTCCTATCTAGTCTCTATAGTATGTGCCTTTCCCCCATGTACCAAACGCGAAATGTCCGTGCTCCTAGGATTCCAGACGCTGCATAACCAGCAGTCTCATACCAGGGAACTCTTAGACGCTTTTGAAACTGGTGAGTGAGGCCCAAGTTCTTGATCAAAGTTAGTGAAAAAAAGCTACTGGGGTAGAACTCAAATTCAAGATCCCCGACGGATATTGCAGGCTTCAGTGGCGGAGAAGCTGGATGCCATAGAAAGCAGCAAGCTCAGAGTGCAAACAAGAGCCTGGTTCTTGTGCTCTGCTTCCTCAAGCTAGTGCAGCCGTGCAGAGAAAAAAGTAGGTCACCATTTGTTACATGTAAGCTGCAGGCATGAGCTCTGATCTTGCTTTCGACGAAGTTGAGACGCTGCGGGTCATGTCTCAGGATCCGTGGGAAAGGGTTGGAGAAAAGCCACACTGGTTGAGCTAGGGCCTTCGGATCTGCAGGAGCTCCACAGTGCCCTCACCGAGTCGCAGAAGGAGACTTTCACGTGCCGAAATCCGGGCCGCGGTGATTTGGATCCAGGGCGGGGGCTACACATGGGGTCTTATTCTTCGGGTAACCTACCGCAAATTGCTGGTGAACAGTGTTGACATGCCACTGGCAGTGCTGGTCTTCCTCGGTGCCTGTGCTCCAGGAGTGGCGCGCAGAGCTGCTGTCAGTCCTGCAGCTAGCGGCAGCCCTAGTGTGTAGAAGGTATCCTGTGCGAAGCTTTTCCGGCTTGGCAGCATGGTGAGAGCGCAAAAAAAAAGGATGAAACTTTAAGGCGTCTTTGTTGTCAAATGCTCTCATTGACTTGACCAAGAAGATTGAGCAGGCAGGGCCTTAGGTTGGTCCTGCTGTTCTTGGCAACTGGACTTTCTCGCTGGGAGGTTCAGCTCAACCACACCGAGCTGGCTATTCGGGACCGGGCTTCAGCTCCAGGGCTCCTTGTGAACAGCTCATGTTTCCTGTAAAATTGCGTAGAATCCGGCTTTAGAAGCCTGCAGTTTCCTCTCTGACTCCTTAAGCGGTGAGTTAAGCCTGCACGTATGTGTTCCTTGTATGCTGTTGGTGTGATCGTATGTGTGTGTGATTCGAGGCAGCGCCCCTGACCATTGGGAAAAAGTGAGCAGGCAGAAGTTTCACCAGTGGTTTCACCCAGGGCCTGGGCTTCAAGGATGCCAATGGCAAATGTAATGCCCAAACACAAGATGATCTTCAGGTGTTGACTAAGCTTCCTCGACAGGCACAGAATTCGTTTTTGCCCACGGGCGCTTGTTGTGAAAAGTACGCTTGAATCTGGAACGCCAGATCATGCTGCATGTTTCAGGTTGTGTTGCAACTGGCAGGCTCCACGGATCCGACGTGCTTGCCCTTGCAACTGAGCTGCCAGATGGAAACATTGCATGGGTGCGGACGTGCTTGGTGAAGTCTTGTCGCAGTGCTGCCCAACAGCCAGGCAGGCATCAATAGTGGAGTCCGACACTGCGCGATATTGCACAAGATGCTGTCTCGCCAACAATCAAGTGCAAGAGTGATGCATTGAAGTCAGTCTGCACGAAAGTGGAGCTGGCAGGACTGTGGAACACATCCTGTAGCTCATGGTCTTTTTGCACTTCAGCCAAAGCTCAGCTTGACAAACTGGAGGCACTGAACAGGGTGTCTGCGACATGCTCGCCATGTGCTTCATGGGCTTTGAAAGCCCCATGGTGCTGGGAGCGATGCGATGGTCCTTCCAGAGACCATTGGATCTGAGGACTCCGGCCAAGAGGCGGGGACGTGTGGGGACTCTCGGGAATGACTCAGGTATTCAGCTTGGGATCTTGGCCCAGGACGGCGCTCCCTCGACTGAGCTGGGATGCCTTGTCAGTGAGACTCTGGCTCTGGCCTCAACAGAGAAAAGCCACTCATGAATCTGAGCCTCACGATCTCGGCATATTTGTGGCAAGGATGCTCGGGACTGTGCTGAGCCCCGATGCCATTGCTGGGTGCCTCACCTCAAGATCCTTTTGCCTGCCAACCACGCCTCTGTGAGTTGCCAGGAAGCTTTGACCACGGCTGGCCCGGCAGTCTTGGTCGGCTTGCTCTTCCTGCCAAACATTATTGGCAATGCTTTAGGCTGCTCAGATCCAGCAAGCATAGGGTCTGATGGTGCTCCAGGGCTCCAGCTCGGCAGAGGTCTTCGTGGATTCTTTGGGCATCGAGGAAGCGGCCCTGCTTGCCTCGTGGCGCTCGTGTGGCTTGCCTGCAACAGCTGGAAAACCTGAACCCTTGTGCGAGCAGTTGCTAGGCCCTTTGACGTTGACAAGTGGACTGTAACACTGCAGGCTTGCTTTGGTGGTATCCTTCCACCTCCTCTGGCTTCTGTTGCGCCGGAAGAAAGTCATCTGTAGCCTGCTCCTTCTTGGATGCCTGACGATGATAGATGGCCAACGTATTTTCCCATATATGTGCCTTGCAAGTTGTCTTGCCGAATGAACCACCAAGCCAAGGGGTCCTCCTTTTCTGTGGCGTGCTCAACACGGTTGTCCTATGCAGAAGCAGTGAGTTCTTGTGCATCGGCTCTTGGCTGATGATGCGTCCCTTGAGAGGTTGCTTCTGTCTCAGCCTGCCCGTGCTATTGGCCTTGCCAGCCTCGCGGCAACTGGAAGCTGAGGCGCTCGTGAATGTTGCACTGGCCAGTAAGTTAGCAGCCCAATCGTGTTAACATCCAGCTTGTACTAGTTCAATCCAGCATGTAATTTACTCTTGGGTGTGTTGCGATGCACAAGGCTCTATCGGGGTTTATGTGAGTCTCACATGTCGCTGCAGCAGTTCGGCTTGATGCAGCGGAACTTCTATTGCAGCTGACCACTCAGATGGACAGAGGAGCAGCCTATTCGTCATGTTTTCAAAGCCCTGCCCTTGCACCTGCATCATCGTTCTCATAGCTCCTTTCATGCTTAACTCAGTCCTAGTATAGGCTGACAAGAAAAACATACTTCCTGCCTTGCCAACATGACACATCAGCGATCGGGCGCAGTGGATGGCGAGGAATACATTGAGTTCATGGACACACAGCCTCCTGGCAGTTCACAGCGTTCTTTCAGCAACGGAGCTCGTGCTGCGTCATGCTGCGTCTGGAAACTCTTGGTGAGTCCCCAACTGAATTTAGGTTCCTAAGATACACCTCTGCCGAGGTTTGTAACAGGCCACATCCAGCGAACCTACCGCTTCTACATGTTCAGAAGCGATGACGGCCGCCCATATGAATCTGCTAGTGCCTGCATGCCATGATTTAGAATGGAAGTTTGCATGTTTAGCTTGTGATGCAGGATTCAAAGACGGTTTTCTGCTGGTGCACGTTCTCTGAGGGAAGCCTCACAAAACCATGTGGGTGACAGACTTGAACTACGTCAAGAAAGAGCGGGATCGATGTTTGGAGCTTCTTCAGAAGAAGGGCCAAAGAAAACTACAAGAGACGACGCTTCTTGGACTGCACTGAATCAATGGGTATGTTTCGTTCCATAAGCAACTTTAACTTTGGCTGGCTTCTTGGCTGTTGAGTCATGCTGAGTATGCGTAAGCCGTAAGCTAAATGCCAGGGGAAAGTTGCAGACTCCTTCCTCTCCGTCTCAGACTTCTGCGTTGCATTCAAGAGTCGGCGACGTACCACATGGTCAGAACCCCAGGTGGAGAAAGTCTCCATAGATCTCTTCAACTTGAGGCCTGAAATGTTATTTTGGGCGCGTGCCCACTGCAGCAGCTTTCAGGCTTGGTGTTGTCGTCGTCGCGGTTCTTATCTAACTGAGTGACAAAGCACTGACGCTGCTGGTGGTGCGTAGGATCCCCAGCACGTCGGTGTCAGGTGGACTGCCTGGGCAGGTCTTCTGGCTGTGCGTTGAACCATCTTAGATTTTGCACTTTACAGCGTCACTTCGTTCTTGATCTCGGTCGCTACCTGAACGCTGCAAAGCAGCCCAGACTGGCGGTTGTGATGTGCGCTTGGCTCCTCCGAGCTACTCTAGCTGCAAACTAGTTCAGATTCCTTCCTGTGCCGGGCGGCAGAGCCTGAACGCGAAGGCGTTCGGCAAGACTGGCCGTCTCGCAGAGAGCAACGACCTTCCAGTCAAAAATGCAACCGATACTTCAGCTCAAGCTGCGTTTGACAAGGCATTTTTTTTATTGACGGAGGGCAAGCAACAGCAAGCTCATTTGGAAGGTCAAGTCGTGTGTAGCACGCAGCAGTTTCCATGGCGGAGTCCGTGTTCGCCTGCGGGCACAAATCAACCAGCAAAGTGTTAGGCAAGGACATCTAAAGCGATGAAGTAATGCGAGGAGGTCACCACGGACATGCTTCAGTTAGTGCAGTGACCGGTGGGCAGGCGGCATTTGAAGGTACTGATTAATTCGTTGCATATGTGTAAACAAGGCTTAGAATCAAAACGGCCCGCCCACTGCTTCCCGTCTTTTTAATTGCTTGTGCTTCGCGGTTACGTTCTCTTTCATGATGCCAGAGGAATATACCATTCTGGTCGGCAGATGGAAATCTTTTTGTTGGATAGACCGCGAATTACATATCCCTCTTCTGACTTTTTGTTACGTCACTGGGCCTGTGGGCTAGACGTGCGGAAAGCAGGTTTTCAAGCATGCACGAGCTCTGCGCACGCTTCTTACAGGAGTGGAGTGGACCAGTGTGCGCGTGCGCAGCTCGAGGATGCTGCACTGCTTGCGCAATGTCCAAGGACATGATAGACTACACTGTTTCGGAGCTTGCCGTAGAAGACATGCGCCGTGAGCATGGTTCTTTGACCTGCTGCTTGGCCAGCGTGTTTGGGGTCCTGGTTGGCACGGCAGGTCCTTCGGCTGTTTCCAGTCACCCTGGAGGGTGGCCGCGAAACTGCCTTCAGCCTGGGTACTTGGCTGATGGGGCCACTCGCTGCTCAGGACGTAGACTTCAAAAAGCATGGTGACACTGTTCCCATGGGATGGCCGCACTTGCAGGTGGGCACCTGCAAGCTTCAGCATCCACAGCAGTCCGTACCCTTCAAGACGATCTCCCCACCGAACCTGGGCAGCATGTACCTGCCGCTGCTTCCGTGAGATTCTGCAGCGTGGGAGGCCAGGGTGCTCATTGCGACGTTTTGTGAAGAGATGTGGTTTCGACGGCCCTCTTTTCCTGGACGTCTACAAGCCCAACGAGCAGAAAGGTGGCGAGCCCAACCGCTCATGACTATAAGACAGATTGATAGAAAGCTTTTCGGCCCTTCTTGGTTCTAACAAGTAGTTGGTGAACTACATGCAGTGCGCGGAACTCCAAGCCCAGCCTGCTGGAAGGTCGTAGGCAGCAGCAGTTGCAGAAATAGTGCTCAGGTTGCAGGACCTGGCGTAAGATGTAATGAGCCATCGCAGTACGAATGCCATTGGATTGGGGGGTGACGTCTTTGGCTAAAGAGGGCTGAGGCCAGTTGTGCCCCCTGCAGGTTGAGGTTGCGGGCTCAGTCTAAGATATTTACAAGTTTTGGCTAATGCCCATGAGGTGTCCCGCCGGCTGAAGCTAAACCTGCAATTGTCTTCGTTCATGGTGGCTGGTGGTATACCGGGGACCGGACCTGGCACCACAAGTGCTTCTTCCAACATTTTTTGCATCGCCGCCTGCCTGGAATGACGTGGGACCTATGGTCTATTCCTATTGCATGTGATTCTGTGGTTGGTCCTGCTAATTCATGGCATCTTACGTTATCATATCATTGCGGTAGGGGTGTGGCAGATCTCGCTTTGGAAAAGTAATTGTCACGATGCACAGTCGGCTACATAACGAGTGCCGAATGCAAGCTCGCAAGATCAGCTGGACTCACAGCCACCAAGTTGGTGTTGTTGGGCGCATGGGTTCGAAAGGGTAGGGGGTGAGTGCTGGGATTATGTAACTGTAGTTTACAGTGAAAAGCCCAGGTGGCTTCGTGCTGGTCTCGGTGGGGTATCGGCTCACAAAAGATGGCTATGTTGGTGAAGAGATCGTGGCAACCTGGTTTGCATGACAAAGCCAGGCGTGTCATACAGCATCATATCATGCAGCGTTGCCTGAGAGTAGCGAGTCGAGGAAGATGTAATTGATGGCCTCATGTATGTTGTGAAGCATTCCGCGGAATTCGGCATAGACAAGCAGAGAGTCTCGGCCGCTGGTATGGCAGGGTTTCATGATTGCTCGGCATTCCGGCCAGAAATCCTCGGAGTTCCCTCTGAGCTGCCAGGAATCATTGTGCAAGGCGAGTCCGCTGGTGGCCATTTGGCAGTGCTGGCTTCACTGCTGGTGCCCTCAGGCCACGTGCAGCTTGGCTGAGCTGGGCAGAGTCCGGCTGCGCTGCGTCCTCAAGTGCTTTCAGCCGCCTAGGCGCGGTGTAGTTGATCTTTGGGGCATCCAAGAGCTTCGACAAGGTGCCAGCCTCTGCCACGCTTGACACGGCTGGAGCGTTTGGGAAGCAGATCTTTGCAGGATACGCCTCCAACGTAGGCAACAACTGGCCCGAAGCATATGCCCTTTTCTGCGGCGGAGATCCTCTTGCGAAGCCAGGCTTCTCTTGCATTGAAAGTGGCTGCATGCTGACGTGAGTGGAGTTTAGCTTGGGTTTCCTTGCCGTCGAGTTCATTTGTCGCATTTTGTTGCCACGTATCTCAGTTTTGAAAACGTCAAGGATAGCTGCAAATTAAAAGCCCAAATTCCATCTGCATTTTGGGGAAACATTCCCCGAAATCCTATGAGCCTTATCGAGCTGAAGGCTGCTATCACAATCTGTCGACCACCACGCACGTGTCACAGAAGTGCCTGCCTTTGCTCTGGGGGGCGGGGGACTTTCAGATCTGGCGGGGTGACGCCGAGGTCCCCGCCCATGTTCTTGCTGCACGGCACAGCAGATCTTGGGTTGCGTTTCAGAACAAATCAGCAATGGATTTTCGAAACAAGTACGAAGCTGGAGTTTACAGTTTGTTAGGATGCGACCGTATCCTTCGACCAGTCGGTGACCCTGGCGCAGTCTTTAGAAGCCTCAGGAGTACGGCATCTCCTAGCCTTGGCTCCTCAGATGCTTGGTAGCAGCTTGAGCCGTGTCTTGCTGGTGTTGCCAAACATTTGATTTCTTTGGAAGAGTGTTCCTCACTACAGGCAAGGGCATGGTTGCTGGGGCGTGCCCGCCGGAATTTGCGTTCAGTGGCTTTTGTTTCTTGGCATCAGAAGGAAAACACCTTACGGGATTTGTTTGTGTGAATGCAGCATGGCCAGTTTCCCCGACAGCATTCAGAGGTTCGTGTCTGAACGCTTTTTCGCCTGGGCGCTGCACAACACTTAGCGACAGAAAACAACTTTGCTTGATGCCTTGATAATTCATTTTTTTTTTTTGGGGGGGGGGNNGGGGGGCGGGGCGGCCACAAAATTGTTGGGTAAGGAGACTGCTTGCGTTCAGTTCTGATGTGCATGCTTCGGTTGCCAGCCCAAGCCCAGACACGGTCAGCAACACGTCACGCAATCTGTGCAGTTGTCAAGCTTGGGCATGGGTCTTTGCATCGAGTGCACGGTTTCGGTATACACATTTTGGTCAGTGCAAATTGAAGGTTTTCAATCAGATTCGGGCCTTGCATGCTGAGAACACACAAGCCTGTACCCGTGTAGAACCTTTTCCATTTGCTATTTGCCTTTGTGCCATGCAGCGCAGCGATGATGATTTCAAGGCTTTCGGTACGCCTGAAGTTTGAACGTAAAACGTGGGGCCTCTCATTTTGCCTTGCTGGAGGAAGTGCCGCCCTTCTGGCTATTGACAAAACCCCCGCCAGAGGAAGATGAAAAACCGCAGGCTTGCGGCTTGCGGGAGTTGTGATGGAAAACGCGCATGATATTTGATGGATACTTTGGTGATGTCATTCGCATCTGTTGCATTGCGTGAGAGGCTTCCACTGGCACTGCCAGTGCTGCGCAACTGTACCAGCAGAGGCACGGCTTCCGGATTAGAAACAGAACTTCCTCAAGGTACCTGCGATACTCTGCTTTGTGGTGTGTCATGCCGCTCGGTCAGGGAGCTTGCCAAGTTGGATGTCTTGCTGGAGACAGACCACTGCAGTCTTCCGCTGGCTCCCAAGGCCTTGTAAGGGGAGTTAACAAATAATGCTACAAATCATGTTTTTGTGGGTTCCTCTCTCCTTTGATATCAGATGTTGCACTACGCGCTTAAGTTATGCCCTTGATGTTGACAATCAACTGTGTCTACATTGCCTGTGAACCTTGCAGGCCCAGGTAGGCTCTGCGATTTTCGATCGCCACCGCGTGCTGCAGGCTCCTCGTATTCTTGCAACCTCATACTGTAACGATTTGTGCATCATCCCCATACTCGCTCTTTGAAGGTGAGTCTCGGCCGAGAGTGGCCAGGATGCAAAGAAACCGCTCAGGTTGTGTTGCGGTGACACAGGTGTTTGTTCCAGCTGTGCTGCGCAGTTCGGCGCGCTAGACAGATGTAACATTTTCATGTTTGCTAGAAGATTCCCAGGGCTTGATAATCACAAGCCGGCTGTGAACGAATTGACACGGCAGACCTAAGGAGAAACAACAATCTTGAGAAGCTTCTTCAGCTTTGTTATGCGCATGTAACGTTTAAAGTGAGGCAACAACACCATTCGCAGCATCGTTGCCGACATCATTCAAACATGTCATCCAACTGCTTCGTGGCCTAGCTTGGTTTCAGGGCTGATTCTTGCCCAGATCCTGAGGCATGGAATCTTGCTCTCCGATGCGGGCATTGCTTTTACTTGGGGCGACAACCGATTTGGCCAGCTTGGCAGAGAGCCAGTGGCCAAAGAGGAAAATGGCAGGCGTCAACCTTGACAACTAGAGCGAATGAACAAAATTAAATTTGGATAGCAGCTTGCATTAGCGTTGCGGGCAGCTCTGTCATGTCTCTCCCTGGCAAGGCCATTTCCAGTGAAGGGCTTGGTTGGCTATGAAGTTACACAGGCCAGCGTGAAGGGATTCAGAGGTGGATTGCACGTGATTACAGTCACTTGCTGGTTTGGGATTACAAAAGCTTCCCAGATTATGGTTTCGGTTTTCCTACTGCGGGTAAATGCGGGTACGATTCTGGGGGAGATGTAGATCTCTAATTTTGAGCCTTTGCTGCAGCAGCGTTGATTCACACAGCAGGTCTCTGCAGGAATGCGCCACTGCTTGGCACTGGTCTCGCCTGGCTTGGCGGAGCACTGAGGATGGAGTTGTTAACGCGGGAACACCATGTTATAAGGTTTTGTGGTTGAGGTCTGGTCCTGGGGCCGGAATAAATCTGGGCAATTGGGCGTCGGCGACTACAGGCGGATATCTGCGGTAATGCCAATCCAAATCGAATGGACTCAACGCATTTGGTTCGAATGACAGGGACCGGACGCAGCCTGTCAAGGTCTGCAGCGGCCTTCGCTGGGGTGGCATCACTTGTAAAATTTTGCTCTTGATGGTTCTCTGACCGAGGTCACCCGCCTGTCACCGACAGCCCGGATGAGTGCGGACTGCAGCTGCTTGGTGATTAACTGATCAGTTGCTGCGGCATCATTGGTTAGTGCAGTCGCATATATCATCACGATTTCGCTTCATTTGGGCAGAAGGTGATACTTCACTCCCCAGTGAGGTTCTGTGAACGTAATTTGCGCTGGACATAACGGTAGTGGTGATGGCGGTAATGGCGGTGGTGGTGGTGGTGGCGG